AATATAAGTTCATGCTTACACAAAGCAACAACATAGGAGCATGCTTACACAAAGCAACAACATAGTGGTTCTCAAGGTTATCAACTTGAAGTCTAAAATGCAACATCAACTAAATATAACAATTTAGCATAATTAGAATATCTAATACCACACATCAAGACATAGATTCTCTAGGTTATCAACTAGCAATCTAAAAGTGTGAAATCAACTAAATATATCAATTTAGTATGGATGTACTTAACAACATCAAATCGCCAATTACCAAAACCACAAGTCACAATTAAACATTGGTTGTCAACTTGGAATTGAATGCGAAATCAAATAGTGGAAGACTTGGACATCACAGCTCGGATTTCCGCCGAGACAAGGCAAATTTGGAGCTACTAACCCCCAGGCAGCCTACCCAACGCGCAAACTTTTGACTTAGAGGACTCTTGTCCCCGTACTAGAGCCAAACCCTAGCCATCACAGCTTAACAATGTCCCAAGCAACTCCAAAATAAATAAGTTAACAACTTATATACGTATTAAACAATACACGAAACTACCTTCATGCACAAGTAGGTTGTAACCACACAACACATGCTCTAAATCCACAACAACTATAGAATGACAATGTCGAATCTTCATAGCGCGATTCGTTACGCGCTATAATAACATCACATGTCGAATCTTCAGTGTGCGATTCGCTACACGCTATAACAATATAATCCAATATTGAAAACATAATTTATAAATCTATTACAAGTCTAAAATCATGCTTCAAACATACTATTAATGCCAATTTCAGGATTTAATCATTAAAGCAATAGAAACGGAATTTAATCAAATAAACTAATTAAATTCCCTAACTTTCAAATCTTAATCAAATGGTCCCTAATCAATGCATATTATACAATATAGCATAGTATATACATACATTCACTAAAATTTCAATTAGGCCAATGGCACAACAAGGTAGAATTTAATTATATTATGATAATTAAACTTCTAAATTTCAAAGCAACTTCAAATGGTCCCAATTTAATATATACTAGTACACAAGTCCTAGTCATCATGATTATCAAGTAAAAAACTTAATTGGGCCAAGGGAACATTAAATAGATTTTAATTAATCATTTAATTTAAAATCTCTAAATTTTCATACTTGTCCAAATACTCTCAAATTAAAGTATGTCAACAAACATGCTAAAACTTAATTTAAAAGCATACTACAAGTTCATTTCATGAAAAGTATGACCATGGGATTTAATCTTTCACCAAAGATAAATATTAAATAAAAAGTGCAATTCTTATACAATTAATCCCAATTTAATATATGTTAACAAATATATTAAAACATGATTTTCTAGCATGTCACAATTCTATTCTAAGTTATACACATCCTTATGAATTAAATTTCATACAAAGAAATAATTAATACTAATTTTCTAGAATTGATACAAGGCATGCAATTAAGTTGTATAATCATGCTAAATACTCAATATAACACACACAAAAGCCTAGAACATCCCCTACCTCAATTTGAGATGAAAATCTCAAAAGCCACCAAATGGAAACCGCTCCGAATCCGACGAAACTGCTAAGTTTTGTCGGGGACTACACAATGCACATAACCCCCAAGGAAGCCCCATCAAAATCACAACTTGACTTCAAACCCAAACTCAAAGAATGGTCAGAAATGGGTTCTAATAAGGATGAAAGAAGCGCGTAGTCAACACGAACACTAAACACAAAGGCCCTTCTATGTTCTGACGAAGGAATGAAGCTCAAAAGAGGAGAGAGAAGGTGGCAGCCTCCCTTGGGCTGCCATGGAAGCTTTAGGTCGTGCAAGAGAGTGGGGAAGATGAAAAAATAAAATATCTCATCCCCCTTTTATAGAAATCTCAAAAAGTGCCCCGAACGGGCCCCGCCAGGTCCGAAAAAGTGAAATTTGAGCAGACGCGCTCAAATGACAAAAATCTGTGAACAAAAAAGATTCAAAATGACAAAATATGAACAACGGAAGAAACGGCATCAAAAACTGAGTCCCGATCAGAAAGTTATGCCCCAAACAAGTTTGGCACTAACCGGGGCCAAAAACCCTGAAACTGGAAAACAATGACTAGAAGGAATTTCTAAGAGTACACGACTCGACGAAAAGTGAAAATGAATCCCGCACAAGGATCCAGGCTCAAAACAAAAAGTTCCCTAATAGCACTAATAAATTTAATATATAAGTACACTGATCACCTTCACCATCAAAATTAGGTATTGACACAGTACTGAATAACTAATAGCACTAATAAATTTAAGAATTTTTAATTTTTTCATTTGTCATCTATTAGTCTAAATTATGATTTTTTTTAGTTGAAATTGACATTGGTTAGACATTCTAGTGTTTCTGAAATCTTGGATAATTGTAGGGTTTTCTTCTATAATCTTCAATAAGCATTATAGTGAATGTAAAATTTTGCATAATTGATTGTTTGAACTGAGTTGCCTCATTAGGAACCAATGTCTTACCCAAAAAAATTTGTATTAAATGTATGCGACAATTATACATTCCAGAGGTTATTATTTGATATTTATGAGAGAAAAAACATTGAGAAGTTTAATAAATAGACACACTGATCACCTTCACCATTAAAACTAAGTATTGATACAGTACTCATTAACTAATGTCACTAATGTGTTGACTCTTGTTATTTCTTTTTCCTTTTTTTTTTTTATTTTATAAAAAGCTCCCTTAACGGAGATAAGAGAGAATACGATTTTAATTGTTAAAATGGAATACTTGGCCAAAGCAAGGCCTCAACAATGTAAACTGCAGGAGACTGCAGGAAAAACATACTACAGAGGATTTGCGCCCGATGGGATGGACGTTATAGCTTCACTTTAACTTTCCGCTATCGAAACCGAAACTAAATATTAAATGAAAAATTACAATTTGATCTGAACGTGTTTTGATCATTGAAATATGTTCCAAACCGACGAGGGAATGCAATTGGAGTACTAGGTTAAAATTGTGCTATCATTTGCGCCCTCTGATTTGTGGGGTTAATTGCTAATATACATAGATATATAAAATATAAATATAACTATGAACATGAATAATGAAGAAGAAGAAATACAAGTATATACACACATTCTCATTAATCATTACTCATTAACTTAAATTGAATGTCAATACAGTCTCTTTTTTCTTTTCTTTTTTTTTTTCACTAAAATATTAATCATTTATGGCCACTTGTACCAAAATTTCGTGCAAAGTCCTTGGTTCTATAAGAATCCCACTTGTACCAAAATTTTAAATTTTGACACTTTCATAAGAATTCATAAAGTGCTTTCCACAACAGTTTGACATAGCAGGAAACATTTAAATGCAAATAATATTATTAGGAAGGTAAGACACATAGAAAACACTTTTGTCACTAAAAAAGCTAGCGGATTCTAAAGGTGACACCGATGAGATGCACACTTTTGTCACTAAAATTTATGATATATGTGATAAACATTAAAATACACACATAGCATGAATGTTTTTACTTTCGGTAAAATAAAAAAAAATTAATTAACATAATAGAGATAAAATATAGATAGAATTAGAAAACAGAACAATCACCAAGGCAAGAAAGGAACAGGAAACCAAAAACGAATCTACTAAACACATTTGTTTGTGAAATTAGGTTTGTTCAACTTGAAATTAATTTCCACCGCTTTCTCACATCAAATATTACAACACTAAGAAAGGGGTTCTCTAGAGTCTCTCTTGCTAGGAGCTCCTATATCTACATGCCTATAATTACTATCGAAAACATAAAACTTGGTAACAATGCGGATTAACTCATCTGCTATAAATAACTGTACCTCAGAATCATCTGAATGAGATGAGCTACCTCAATGATAAATACTATCTTGGCACTGGAATCAACCGAATCTCATCAGCTATGGGTCATCTCTACAAAGTTCGATTCTTAGGATAACACGATCAAAGGTGGCTTGAATGAAAAGTAAACAGAGCTGTCTAGCTAGGAAGATTTTACAATGCAGAATCGTAGACGCCCCCCAAGTTACAAATGCCCTGGGATAAATCCGCCTACGCTCTCTTCTACTGACTAAATAATATGATGAGAAGTAGACCTATATCAGACAAAACAAAATTCAGAATAGCAACTAGATTTGATATTCAACACAACACCACATCAACTCTTCTTTTGGGAAGGTAAAATACACACACTATTGCTCCTACCAATGAGCCCTTGTTAACCATGAATAATCCGCCAACTTCTCTACTTTAGTGCTTAATCTCTTGCCAATCCAGTCTCAAGGTGGTAACAGAGTTCCACAAACTAAACCAGAATCATCATCTCAGAAGTTCCTAAAGATGGAACATTTTCAGGAATTTAAAAAGGAAATGGAAAGAGAAGTACTCGGTGAATCGAAGTCAAAATTCACTATTGCAAGAAGCACCGGCAGAGTGCAGACAACTTCATTCGGGATACTGCTAGCATTGGAAGAAGAACCTTACTTCCCTAAATCATAGTTATATTGGTAGATCAGTACCGGAATGCATGAGTACTGTAAGAACCAATATAAATGAGAAACAAAAACTTATACTATAGAATAGGATCATGCAAAATGGGAAAATTAAAAGTGAAGAATAAGATCTTGGCTATACGTGCAGATACCTAACAATCATTCCCTAATGCATAAATGAGAAAGCTTGAGCAAAATATTGTACCTACCAGGGTTATTCAACACGATGCCTCAATTGAAAACATGAAACAAAAAGAAACTTTCAATTAAATTCATCTGAAATGAAACAGCCAGCTGGAAAATTAATCCATGTTTTTCAGAGTAGTACACCATATGGATACAAGAAAATTTGTAAAAAATCTAGTGCAAAAGAGTACCAACTTACTTGCCATGATATGTGGCCAAGTCATTTGCTTTTTCAGGGGAAAACATAATTTTAAGCCTGCCTCTAGGTATTGAATCTGAAAGTGACACAGGAGGATGTCATGATTTTAAGCACATAATTCTATTTTCAACAGGCATGAATAATTCGCCAACTTCATCTGAATAAGGGAGTACAAATTTCTGAAAGAACTCCTTATCAGTGAACGTGAATGCAGTCGACAAACTCGGCCTTTTAAGAAGCAAATTCCTGCTTTCCAAAACCTCCAGAACTCTTAGCCGTGGCTTAAGCCTATTCTCAACACTGAAACCAAGTAATCCTGGTTGATTAACAACAAATGAGATATCCAATTTGCCCGTGCTGAGGAGAAGCTGTGTTGTAGCCTTAATTTTCCTCACTGACTGATTAAATACATGAGGAGCTTTCCTAAAAGCTGACAAAACATCATCTTCCGAAAACCCCAAACTCTTAAAGAGCTCCAATTTCAATTCCCAATTCTCTTTAGTCATGGAACTAATAGCCCGGATCGCCTGAAAAAACATCTTAGACTTCCTGTCAAAGCCCATATCATCAACCCTCTTGACACATTCTCTAATATGCGTCGGTTTAATGAAGAAAAATCTTGCGCAACTATACACATACTGGGTTATTTGTGACGAACTAATACCGCAGCTCTTCATAAATTCAATATTGGGTACCATAGCCTTTGCCAAATCAGACATCATTAACCGCCCATGTTTCCTTAAAACCCTAGACACATCCATATTCGAACCCAAAACACTCTTCAATGCTGAAATCGACGGGCCAAGCCGATTATCCACGCTACTATTTAGAATCCATGGGTGAGACGAAACAATTTCCACAACATCACTAGAAGAAAAACCCAAGTCTTGAAAAAACTTGAATTTGGGTTTGATGGAGCGCTCAAGATTGGCAGAGAGAACTCTAGGCATTCGTTTGATGACAAGCTCGAGCTGGGTATCCGAAAAACCACTTTCCTCGAGAAATGAAAGAATCGAATCGGTCTCTTGAGGCCTTTTCAGATGCGTCACGAAGGAAGAGACTTTCAAAGCAGTTTCAGGAGAAAATTTGTATCTATCAAGCAAGAAATCGGCCACCGTAATGGGGGTTTCTGGAGAGGAAGAGAAGAAGAGGAGAGAGAAAAGAGAGATTGGGGTTTTGCTGAGATGTGAAGTATTCTTGAGGGAGAGGGAGATGAGACTTTTGCAGATATATATAGTCATTTCTTGAAGATACACCCAAAAAAATATATGCTATCAATCAAAGCGAAGAGTGTAGAGATGAGTACTTGCCTGTAGAGTGGGGAGGCTTCACAGATTTGCAGTGATTCGATTTTCTCTCTCTTATCATTCTCTCTCCCTCTCTCTGGTGTTTGAACGATGGACAGTGTCCCCTAATTTCCCTAAACCTAGTTAGAGCTCTTTATGTTGGGCTTTTCAGCTTTACAAATTACAAGCAGAGGTTTTAAGGCATTAAACCCAAATCGACAATGGTATGAAAGGGTTCGATTGAGTGAAAGTCCTGGCCCAATAATTAGGTGGGCTCTACAGCGGCCCAAAGTTGAAAAATATTTCCGCAGCCGGGGTTAGAATGCGGAATTTCAATGTGACCTATTTTGTATTAAGAGGGATGCTAATCACAATCGTTCCCCTACTGTAAAATCTCAGTCGCTAATTTAACGGTTGACGCGTGTATTTCTTTTTCCAACTATTTTTCTACTAACTTCTTTTTGGGTCTCTCATTATATATAATTATTATATTAGCCTCCTAACTGGCAAACCATTCGCAAAAATTCTCTTTGTCAGAAACCTCTACTATTCCATCTCACTTTAAAACTTTATTTTTTACAAAATTCTATATCTAAATGTTTGAAATTTCAACACTATAATTTTCTTTTTTACAAAAGTCCATATCTAAATGTTTCAAGTTCAAATTTGAATTTTTTCAGTACTCTTTGTATTCAAAGTATTGCTAAAAAAATAAAAATAAAAAAATTATCATAAAATAAAAAGAAAAAATACTATAATTTTTTTTTCAGATTATACTTTTTTTTTATCTGATTTTATTTTTTTTTATTTGAAAAACAACATAATACTTCGAAACAAGAATAGGGATCTAAAAAAATCAAATAATTTTAAAAAGAGAACTAGATTATAGTACTTTTTTCACTGATTTTTTTATTTTTTTAATCTGAAAAATCAGAGCAATACTTCGAATACAAAGAATACAGATCAAATACAAAGAGTACTTTTTTTCGCATAAATTCTCTCTTTAGAAAGAAACTGAGAAAATCTCCACGGTTCCATCTCACTTTAAATTTTATTTTTTACAAAATTCCATATCTAAATGTTTGAAGTTCCAACAATAAAATTTTCTTTATACAAAAGTCCATATCTAAATGTTTGAAGTTCAAATCTGAATTTTTTCAAATCCATATTCTGTGTATTCGAAGTATTATAGTACTTTTTTGACTGATTTCTCAGTTAGAAGACTAGTATAGTAATTATATATAATTAGATACCCAAAAGGAAGTTAGCAGAAAAATAATAATTAATTATCGGGAAAGGAAATGCACGAGTCAATCGTTAAACTAGCGCGACGACTGTGATTAACATCCCTTTTTGTACTAATTTCAAGGACAACTTCTCCATGGAATTCTTGCTTGCCGTCAGTCCCGCCGCTCCTTGAATCACCATCATTTGCTCACCGCCAAACAGTTCGTCGCTGGTGGTTCTGTTCCGCCAGTGCACCGGTGCAGCTTCACCACCAAATAGTCTATGGTCGCCTCCATTCATAGCACGCAGACTTCTAATCTCACTGTTGTCGTTGCCCAAACATATTCCGAGCAATCCGGGAGCTCCATCGCACGACGCTGCTGCTCCGATCGTCGGAGATGTCGCCACCGAGATATAACACAGAAATCAAAACACGTGCGTTACAATTGATGCCTCGAAATTCTCGTGCTGCTGCGTCTCTTCAGCTATGTCAAAGGTGCCTAGCCAGACGCAGGTTTTCTTACCCGCATGACGTTATTGCTCCGATCTGTGAGTAATACTTTGGCCAATGAACCACCACCAACTCTACACCCAAAACCATCATCACCACTCTGTTTTCAGGCAAACGAACCACCACCGCTACCACCGTAACTTGTGGCTCCACCACCACTATCCTCACCTCCAAACCACCTACACCACTGTCAAAACGACATCGCTGATGAAGCCATATTGGAGAAATATGTGAAGTTTTGGCACTCAAACCCAATTGCGGCGGCTTGTTCCGGTTAAGGTAGATAAGAATTAGGATATGTGTTTTGGTTTTTGAAATTACATGAATACCCACATTTTTTTTTATGAATATGTAATGATGTCATATTTGTCCAAACAAAGAGGGTTATTTTTGTCAAAATAAAGAATCAAAGATAATAATTTCAGTTTCGAGTCTTCAAGGTTATTTTGGTCCAAATATTTTCTTACCCCTCATGTTCAAGGTCATATTTCAAGTCAATAAAACCACAAGGTAGTTGACCAATTTATCGCGCCAATTTTTATCCGAATGCAAGAGATAGAAATCTCGAGGGTAGTTTGTATAATTTGCCCTTTTAATTTTCATTCACATTACAAAGTTTTTTGTATTTCACTCATACCCCAAACACCACTTTTCAATGGTGCCAGATCACTTTTTAAATGTAAAATGACATTGCTACTCTTTTAACTTTATGTTAAGTTATAAAAAAATATATAATTACCTAATTGCCCAATATAACCCATTTTAAGTTACGAAAATACCCACTAATGAACAAACATTTCCATTTGTGTCTGAAACCTATCTCTACAGGGACCTTTTTTTCTCTAAAAGCCATTTCATCTTATCTCACACCCTAACCGCAACATCTCTCTTTAAACCCTTTTTGATGTACATAGGTTGCACATTAGCTAATGCACATAGTTTAGATTATTACGAAGACAAGGGCTTTGCGTTTGATTGCAAGTCACTAACTTATAAGAAAATCGTTGCAACTGTGATTCTGTAAGTGCAAAAAAGGGAGCAAATACAAGTTAATGTTTGATGTGTTTGAAAACTTGTTTTACTTTTTCAATAATAAAACCACTCGCAATAACACGAGTCCTTGTAGAATAAGGCTATGTAGAGGGTGTCGAACCATGAAGACTGCGAAGTTTATTCCGATTTAATTCAAAAATAAATGATTGTTTGGTTGTTCTTCTTCTTAAAAGAAATGCAATTAACTATTTGAAATGAAAATTGAATGAAATTGATGATGCTAATGAGAGATAAATGGCTAAGGAATTGACTTCACCACTTTCTCATAACTATGGCTAATTAATCATATTTAATACGGGAGAATTGACTTTATGCTTAGCTATGATTGGTATAGTGTCAAGCTCACAACAAAATCGCCAAGAAGATGAATGCACATACAACTCAAGAACTATAAATAACCCATCTTTAGTTGTTACAAACCGTCTACCTAACTACGGTACTCTAAGATGTACGACTTGTCTTCCCTATTTATGGCCTATCAATTTATGGCCTATCAAAATTCTTGCAAAGCATGCTATGAAACCCAATGTATAACCTTCATTCTCATTGTTACTATAAGAATGATTAAAGTTCAATCAAGACAAAAGATTTCTAAGACAAGAAAAGAGTTTCATCAAGAATGATTATAAGTATTGCAATCAATACAAAAGCATTACACTTTTAAAAAGCTATGTTATACAACTTGCTATATGTATACATAATTCTCCCAAATAAAAATACAATTAAACCACAGTTACTTGTAGAGGGCTACATCAACTGCCTAGTGGTGAGATTAGTTGCTCATAGTAAAGGTGGAGGCCTCCATGGTTGAAGGAAACATCTTCAGCATTCTAGCCACCATTGATGATCTTCAAGCTCAAGAATACTTTCTCTCTCTAGATGTAATACCCCGTGATTTTAAAGGAATTTTAAATTAGCTTTATTAAATTTAATTGGTTAAATTCATTATTTTAATTGGCAATTATTTAAATTTATTGACTTAATTATCTATTTGTGTGCATCTACTTATTTAATGTTGTTTATGTGAATGACTTGTTTATTATTTGATGTTTTATTAGTTTAGTTAATTATTTTATTGGGTCGGATTTTGGTATTATTGGATCATAGGATTAATTAATTGACTATTGGAGTAGAATGTCTTGATAGGCTGTACTAGAACTTGAACCCATGTATCATACTAACATATGTATTTTATTTATTTTCTAATGTTATAACTAACTAATTATTATTAGGGTTTTTATTGTACTGTTATAGTACGTATGGCATATATGTTATACACATAGTTATAGAAAGTAAACTAGAGAGAGACTGAGAGGGAGAAGGCGCCAACCCAAGGCTGCCAGAGTTAGACAAGAAGAAATCCGACAAGGCTTGCGACGTAGTTTACGTTACGAAAAACCTAAGGCAAGTCACTCATGTACTCTTCCCTTTTAAACTTATAAATTCCTCACCTTGAATACCGAAATTATAGGGTTAATAATTGTATATTAATCATGTTTATTTGTAGTTGTAAAAGCATGAACCGAAACTATGTGTGTATATATATATATATATAACCATGTATGTTTGATATTATGTTGAGTTTGATGAATTTAGTTTCTTGGTTTGCTTGTTTAATCTTAGTGGCATGTTATATTATTGTATTAGCATTCATGGGAACTTGTTATACATAATTCAGACTTAAAATTAATGGAGAACAAAACTGAAACCCGCATCCAGAAGCAGGAGTCCACGTCAAGGCAGTTTCAGCGGACTGAAACTGAGAATCAGCTGACTGAAATTCCAGTTTCAATCGATTGACTTTAGGTTTCAGCTGACTGAAACCCCTGGGAAATCAGGCTGATTTTGTACTTGGAATTTAGTATTTTTCTGGAACGGGAGAGTTTTAGCACGGCGTTTTAAAGTGAAGTTTTGGTCTCGCGCTGCCCCCCGGACCCCAGGCTCGACTTTAAAGTAGTTCACGTAAGGTATTAAGCTGTGCTAAAATTAATTAAAGGAAGGATGAATTAGATACATGGTGTAGGTATGTTATATGATATTAAATTTATTGGGATTGTAATGCACATCATGATAGGTGATATTAATCATATTTGTTCATTTTCAATGATGATAATCATATATATACATATCCTTCCCAATGTTAAATGATATTTATCATTATGTG